AGTGGAGCAGGGCTGCAATGGAACAGGGCTGCAGTGGAGCAGGGCTGTAATGCAGCAGGGCTGCAATGGAGCAGGGCTGCCTTCTGTTGGCATCACACAGGGCTGGAGAGTGTCCGGCTTGGCTGGAATAGAATCATAGAAGCATAGAATGGTTTGGGTTGGAAGGGACCTTTAAGATCACCCATTTCCAACCCCCTGCTACAGGCAGGGACATTTCCCACCAGACCAGGTTGCTCACAGCCCCATCCAGCCTGGCTTTGAATGCCTCCCCACGGCATCGCATTAAGATTGATTGAATGCTTCCAGGGTCAGCGACTCCACCACGTCCCTGGGCAGCCCCTTCGCGCCCCGTCCCCTCAATTGGCAATTATTTTGGCAACGTCCAAGCTCAGTCTCCCTGGCTCAACTTGAGACCGTTCTCTTTAGTCCTGTTACTAACTGTGTGGGAGATGAGGTTGACCACTTCCTCACAGAATCAATCACAGAATGGCCAGGGTTGGAAGGGACCTCAAGGATCATGAATCTGCAACCCCCCTGCCACATGCAGGGCCACCAACCTCCACGTTTAATGCTAAATCCTCCCTTCAGCTTGTTGTGGAGAGCGATGAGTTCCCCCCCGTTCCTCTTCTGCAGACTAAATAATCCCCGTCCCCTCAGCTGCAACTCGCAAGGCTCACAATCCAGACCAGCCAGAGCTTAATTGCCTTTCTCTGAACGCTCTCCAGGGCCTCACTGTCTTGTGGTGATGCGCCCAAAACTGAGCTCAGTACTCAAGGTGTGACCTACAGGTGCTGAGTACGGAGAGATGATCCTTTCCTTGCTCCTGTTGGCAGCGCCACTTCCAGTACAGCCTGGGCTGCCGAGGGCCTTCTGGGCCACCTGGAGTCCCTGCCAGCTCATCTTCTGCTACCACCCGACCACCAACGTTGGGTGGCACGGAACATTCAGCCTCTCTGGTTCTGTCCCTTCCATTTTGCCTCCCCAGTCCCTCACTGGCAGCGCTGTCTGCTGGGCTGAGAGCGATGGGGGATGACTTGAGGGTCTGTGGTGGTGGGTGCCCCATCCCTGGAGCTGCCCGAGGCCGTGGGGAGGTGCTGTGCAGTGCGATCCTGGCCTCCTGATCTCCTTCTATGATCCGGTGACCCATCTGGTGGATGAGGGAAAGGCTGTTGATGTTCTACCTAGACTTCAGCAAAGCCTTTGACACTGTCTCCCACAGCATTCTCCTGCAGAAGCTGGCAGCTTGGATGGCTGCACTGTGTGCTGGGTGAGGAGCTGCATGGAGGGCCGGGCACAGAGAGTGGTGGTGAATGGAGTCAAATGCAGCTGGTTGTGAGCGGTGTTCCCCAGGGGTCGGTGCTGGGCCTGTCCTCTTCAATATCTTTATTGATGACCTGCAGGAGGGCATCGAGTGCACCCTCAGTACATTCACAGGTGGCACCAAATGGGCTGGAAGTGTGGATCTGCCTGGGGGTAGCGAGGCCCTGCAGAGGGACCTGGACAGGCTGCAGAGCTGGGCTGAAGCCCATGGGATGAGGTTCAACAAGGCCAAATGCCGGGTCCTGCACTTGGGCCACAACAACCCCAGGCGACGCTGCAGGCTTGGGGCGGTGTGGCTGGAGGACTGCGGTGAGGAAATGGACCTGGGGGTATGGATGGATGCTGGGCTGAATATGAGCCGACAGTGTGCCCAGGTGGCCAAGAAGGCCAATGGCAGCCTGGCCTGCATCAGAAATGGCCAGCAGGAGCAGAGAGGTGATGGTGCCCCTGTATTCAGCACTGGTGAGGCCGCACCTCGAGTGCTGTGTCCAGTTTTGGGCCCCTCACTGCAAGAAAGATATTGAGGCCCTGGAACGTGTTCAAAGGAGGGCAATGAAATGGTGAGGGGTCTGGAGCACAGGGCTGATGAGGAGAGGCTGAAGGAGCTGGGAATGTTCAGCCTGGAGAAGAGGAGGCTCAGGGGAGACCTCACTGCTCTCTATAACTTCCTGAAGGCAGGCTGTAGTGAGCTGGGGGTCGGCCTCTTCTCTCGTGCCATCAGTGATAGGAGCAGAGGGAACGGCTTCAAGCTGCGGCAGGGGAGATTCAGGCTGGACATGAGGAAGTGTTACTGTTCAGAAAGGGCGGTCAGGCACTGCAATGGATGCCCAGGGAGGTGGTGGAGTCACCGAGCCTGGGGGTGTTCAAGGAAAGGCTGGATGCTGTGCTGAGGGACGTGGTTCAGTGGGAGCTGTTGGCAATAGGTGAACGGTTGGACTGGGTGATCTTTTAGGTCTTTTCCAACCTTGGTGATTCTATGATTCTATGATCCGGTGGGGCTGGATGGTCTTCAAGGCCCTCCCATGACCCAACCGTTCTGGGAACGTGAGCAAGGGGCCAAACTGCAAATGTTTGCGTCGAGCCAAGAGAAGGCAGAGCGGGAAGCCGCCTCCAAACGAATGCGGGGCGGGGGGAGGAAAGGGATCTGGTTCCCCCACGCTGTCGTGGGTGCTGTGCTCTGGGCGCTCCGGGGGAGCCCTCCCTCACCTCTCTGTCGTTCCGGTTTTCCAGGTGAAGACGAGAAACTTGCTGCTTCTTTGCTGGATGGGAAGTTTCCGCGGAGCACATCGATGCAAGACACCGTTAGGGAAGGGCACGGGATCCCACCGCCCCCCCAGACGGCCCCACCCCCGCCTCCTTCTCCATACTACTTCGACACGGGCCCCCCTCCATCCTTCTCTCCACCTCCGCCCCCAGGGAGAGCTTACGACACCATCAGGTCGAGCTTTAAGCCCAGCCTGGAGGCGAAGCTCCACGGGCTGCCGCAGGTCATCAGCGCGGCCGAGATGTACGATCAGGCCAGGACGTCCATCCCCTATCCCGAAAGGCAGAAGAGGGCCCGATCCATGATAATCCTGCAGGATTCCTCCCATCTCCCCGTGGAGCCGACGGAGATCCCCCGGCCCGGCCCGGCCGCAACCCCTCCGGAGAAGCTGAAAAGGAAGGGGAGGGTGATCGACAACCCCTACGCCAACATGGGGCAGTTCAACGTCAGCCTGTTCGCTCCCACCAAGCCGCAGAGGAAGAAGAGCCCTCTGGTCAAGCAGCTGCAGGTGGAGGACGCGCAGGAGAGGGCGGCCCTGTCCATCACGGGGGGCTTCACCAGGGAGCCCTCGCCCACCCGCCGGAGCCATCGCCTGAGCGGCGTGGACTACCAGCACCACGCCGGCCTCGCGCAGGTCGAAGCCACGAGCATCCCCTTCGCCACTGCCATCGCTGGGGTCATGAAGGACAGAGACCGACGTCTGGACGAGAAGCGCAAATCCACTGTCTTCCTCTCGGTCGGGGCCATCGAAGGCACCCCCCCCAGCAGCGACATGCCATCCCTGCAGCAGTCCAGGTCTATCGATGAGCGGTTGTTAGGAAGCCGAGATGTACTACTGCCTTCCCCCGTCTCAGCTTTAAAGCCATTAATTAGCAGCTCATCCTCTACGTTCATCCACCCCCTGACGGGAAAGCCCCTGGATCCCAACTCGCCACTGGCGCTTGCGCTGGCCGCAAGGGAGAGGGCCCTCTCCACCCAAGTCCCATCCCGGTCGCCCACCCCGATCCACAGCCCGGACTCCGACAGAGCGGCGCCGCTGTTCGTGGACATCCAAACCAAAGAACCGGAGAGGGTGGAGCTGGAGAGCTTGGTGTCCCCCGCCTATTCGCCCGGAGCGAAAGGGGCCGTGGCGGCCGAGGCGGCGGCGCTGACCCCCGCCAAGAGCCCGTGGGGAACCCCGTCCACGCTGAGGAAAGAAGCCGAGGCGAGGGTGGAAGCGCCCGGCAAGGAGGAGAAGAAGCCGGAAGACAAGAAGTCCATGATCATCAGCATCGTGGACACGTCGCAGCAGAAGACCGCCGGCCTGATCATGGTTCACGCCACAAGTAACGGCCAAGACGAGATCGGACTTGAGCTGAAGGAGGACAAGCCGGCGGTGCCCGAAGCGTGCGCGGAGCCGGCGGAGCCGCCCAAAGCGGAGCCGCAGCCCAGCCCCGCGGGGAAGGGGCCGGGCAGCCCCGCCGCCGCCGCCGACAAGACGCTGGGGCAGGGCAGCTCGGAGGAGGAGGTGGAGCCCTACACCGTGACGCTGCCGCCGGCGCAGCTGTCCTCGAGCGACGAAGAGACCAGGGAGGAGCTGGCCAAGATCGGGCTGGTGCCTCCGCCCGACGAGTTCGCCAACGGGGTCCTGGTCACCACCCCCGGCACCCCCGTCAGCCACCTGGCGGCGCCCAGCGCGCCATCCGCACCAGCGGCAGCAGGAGCTCCTCCGACCGCGGGCGGAACACCCTCAGGGAAGCCCCCCGACGCCCCAGCGGCCCCGGAGTCGGCGGCCGACTCGGGCGTGGAAGAGGTGGACACGAGGAGTTCGAGCGACCACCACCTGGAGACCACGAGCACCATCTCCACGGTCTCCAGCATGTCGACGCTGTCCTCGGAGAGCGGGGAGCCCACTGACACATACACTTCCTTTGCGGACGGACAAACTTTTATACTCGAGAAGCCACCAGTGCCTCCAAAGCCAAAACTCAAGTCCCAGCTCAGCAAGGGGCCAGTTACTTTCAGGGACCCACTTTTGAAGCAGTCTTCGGACAGCGAGCTCATCTCCCAGCAACATGCGGCCACGCTGGCGTCCGCCAGCATTGGCCGGCCACGCTACCTCTTTCAGAGAAGGTCCAAGCTATGGGGGGACCCCATGGAGAGCCGGCCGATCCACGGGGCTGACGACGACAAGCCAACTGTGATCAGCGAGCTGAGCTCCCGCCTGCAGCAGCTGAACAAGGACACGCGGTCGCTGGGGGAGGAGCCGGCCGGCTCCGCGCTGGATCCCGGCAAGAAGTCTCCGGTGGTCGCGGCACGGTAAGAGGCCGCGTGGCGCCCGGGGCTGCGCGGTGCCGCGGGCCGGGTGGGGGTCAGGGCGTCCCGGAGGCGTCCGTCCCGCTCGGATGGGGAGCGGCGCTGCCGTCCTCCCCCGGGGCTGCGCCTGCTGCCCGCTGCTCCGCGCTCGGCTCTCGCGTCGGCCGCCCCTCCTCTGTCCGCTCCCGTGAAGCCGCCGTGTTCTGTCGTGGGTTTCCTTTCCAAATGTTTTCTCCCGAGCCGTTAACAGCGACGTCTGTTTCCCCGGTGCTTTTCATCTGGAAGGGCTCTGAGCGTCGTCGGGCTGCGGGGCGGCGCTGCCGGTCGTGGGGCACGGCAGCGGCGCCGGCTGCGCTGCGGGGCGCTGAGGGTCAGGGTTCCATTTCCCACATGGGTTTGTGCTCAGGCTGACGGAACCCGGAGATGTGGGGCTGGAAGGGACCCCTGCAGCTCCCCCCTCACCCCCTCCCCAGCAGCCCCTCCAGCAGCTGCGCACGGAGCTTCCAGGTGGGTTTGGCTCCCTGCAGACATGGAGTCTCCCCCACCTCTGTGTGCAGCCGTGCCTGGGCTCTGCCCCCCACCCCGCAGCACAAAGTTCTCCCTCACGCCCTCAGGAGCTCCCCGCTTCCCCACAGATCTACGTGTAAAACACAGCAAAACCAAAAAGCTCCCGATGGCAACCGGAGATGTGAGAGCAAAGCCTCTGAAGGCTCCGAGATGCTCAGCGAGCGCCTCGCTCTGGCAGCCGCGCTGCGTCCGCCCCGCTGCCCTCCAGTGAGCAGCTCCCACCCCCCCCCATGCTGCCCCCCCTGCCGTGCCCACACCGTAGGGTCAGCCAGGAGCTGGGAAGGGCGAGCTGAAGGGAGCGTTGATGCGAGGAGCTGCGCGTGCTGAGCTCGGTGCAGCGGCGGCTCTCCAAGCCGTGCCCTGCGCTCACAGCTTGGAGGCGTTTTGGAACGGAGCCGGGGGGGTTACAGTGCCCTGCAGCCCCCCCCCACCCAGGAGCGGCCCCCGCCGCCCCGCTGACCCACTTCTGGCGGGCACCAGCCCCGTGGTTGCCATCACAAAGTGGAAGGAAACCCTCTGGATCTTGCCGTGCTTTCGCTCTGATGGTTCGGCCCCACGTCGGCGCTGCGGCCGCTCCCTGCAGAGCGGTGGTTCCTCGCTGTGCTGCTCAGCTGGGACCCCAGGGTCCTGTGCTGGGTCAGCTGCATCCGAGGGCCGTCTGGAGCAAGGCGTGCACTGCTCCAGGTCTGGAACATCTGCAGCTACGCTGGGTGGGAGGGGGGGGGTCCTGATCTTCTGCTGGTGACCGGGCACGGTGTCTCTGTAGCCCACCTGCAGGATTTGGGCCCTTTGCTGGGGGCAGTGTGAGGCACAGCCAACCCCCCAACCCCACGCCTGCTGGTGCTGGGGGTGCTGGGGCGTCCATCTCCCCCCCTTTTTGGGTCTCCCGGAGCGATCAGTGAAAAGCACCCACGGCTCCCACCTGCAAACCCTGCCGTCCCACACCCACCTCCCCCCCTCTCTGCCTTCCCGTGTCCCACATCACTGCGTCCCGGTGCCGATCCCCCGTCCCCGTAGGTGTGCGAATTCCCCCATTCCTGGGGACTTCTGCCCCATCCCTGCCCCTCCTTCATGCCCACGGGTCACCACCCGCACTGCAGCACTGCATCCCCACCCCCGTCTCCCTTAACAACCCCCCCAAAGCTCTGCCCTGGCCGTGGATGGCTGCAGTGACCCCCTGTGCTGAGTCTCTGTCTTCCTCCCCAGCTGCAGGGAATGCCTTCCCCCATCCATGCCCTTCCCCACCCTGAGCACTCCGTGTTCTGTGCTCCCATGGGTTGCAGTGCTCCTCATCCCCTCCCAGAGCCTTGCAGTTCTGACATTATTTTGCTCTCGGTTGAAATTCTTGCAACGCTCCCCAGGAAATCCGCTGCAAACGGAGCACGCCGTGACGCCGGCCGCTCCGCCTCGGTGTGAGAATTCCTCCCTTCTATGAAACTGCTGTAAATTCGGAAGGTGATGCGAAGAGCAGTCAGGATAAATGTAGGTGACCCATTGCAGGGCACGTGTTCCAGTCCTTGGACCTGTCCTGAGATAAACGGCATCACCCAGCACCGCCACAGCGACCGCCCCGCAGGCTGCAGTGCTGCAGTGCTGCAATGCAGTGGGACCTGCAGCCCTGAGCCCTGTGGGATGGGCACAGGGAGAGCAGTGCTGCAATGCAGTGGGACCTGCAGCCCTGAGCCCTGTGGGATGGGCACAAGGAGAGCAGTGCTGCAGTGCAGTGGGACCTGCAGCCCTGAGCCCTGTGGGATGGGCACAAGGAGAGCAGTGCTGCAATGCAGTGGGACCTGCAGCCCTGAGCCCTGTGGGATGGGCACAGGGAGAGCAGTGCTGCAGTGCAGTGGGACCTGCAGCCCTGAGCCCTGTGGGATGGGCACAAGGAGAGCACAGTGCTGCTTGCAGCCAGGGCCTGTGCTGGAGCTCCTGTGAATGTGGAAGGCAACGGGGCCGTGCCCTGCCTTGGGCTGCAGCTTCTCCGTCGTGCTCGTATTTTGCACTGCTCCAGAAAGAGCCATGAGCTGAACATGAGCAGCTCCTACCTGCAGCCAGCACCGTTCTGGAGCCAGCACCGTTCTGGAGCCAGCACTGTTCTGGACCCAGCACCATTCTGGAGCCAGCACACTTAATGCAGCCAGCACCGTTCTGGAGCCAGCAGGTGTCCCGCAGGGCTCAGGGCTGAGCAGGACCCCTGGCAGAAGCCCCCCATGAGCTGCCATCACAGTCGGTGCCTCCCCAGGCTCCGAAGCGACGCTGCAGGCAGGAGGAGCGGGGCGGTCGCTGTGCGCTCGTGGGGTTTGTGGCTGGAGTTCGATTCGAATTGCGTTGCATCCTGAATTTACAGCAGTTGCATCCAAGAGCGAGGGCTGCTGCCGCGCTGCAGCGCGCACGGATGTGTTCCCGCAGGGGGGCACCTCCAGGAGCAGAGGGCTGAAGCGCTTTCTCCATCTCTCTAACTCTGTGTCTCCTCCCAAGGCGGTCTGTCCCAGGAGGACCTTTGACGAGAGGCACTGGAAAAGAGGCCGAGGAATACTGAGAACCTAAGCTCAGAGTTGAGGCATTCAATAGAGGGAACGTTTGTCCCGCCCTCCCCAGCCCTCCGTCCCCGTGCAGATGGGCTGAGCCTGCCCAGGAGGCCCCGCTGCAGCCATGCCCACGCTTTGCTCTCTCCCGTGGCCGTCAGGGTTGCCCACGGGGCCCCGCGGTGGCGTGGGACCTTGGGATGTGACCCCAGAGCTGGGAACACGCCGGCCTCGCTGCCCTCTGACCGCTGTGTGTGGGGGGGCCCCGAAACCCGCAGCAGCGCGAGGGTCGGGCGTGAAGAGCCGCTGAGCCCCACGCGGTTCAGGAGCCACCCTCAGCTGTGCCATCCATTACCACAATAAAGCTGTCGTGAACCAACAGAGGTGTAACGTTTCTGATTAGCGCTCAGTGAGTCAGAGCGGCGCGGCCGGGAGCTGCGCGGAGCCCAAGTCGTGGCTCCCCAGGGTGACTCAGGGTTTCCAAGGCAGCTCTGCGTGGCTCGGAGGCGTTGCTCTTCAGGGTCCCGTTCTGCTCCCAGCCGTGGCCGCCCGGCCCTGCAGAGCTGTGCTGCCCCCATGGGGCCGCAGGGCTGCGTGTGAGCTGTGCTGCCTGGAGCCAGGAGAGCAGCGAGCGCCAGCACGGGGGCCCGGAATCACGGGGTGGCACAAAGCTCCTCTGATGGCAGCCCCCAGCAGCTCCGGGTTGGGTCAGCACAGCTCTGGTTCAGTGCAGGTGCGAGGCTTTTTGGTTTTGCTCCTTTGCATCTTTGCGTTTCAGCAGCGGCCAAGCAGACGGAGAAGCAGAGTTTCGGCTGCAAAAGCCGAGTTGTTCAGGTGCTGTTTCCGGAGAGCCACGACTGCTTTGTGTCTGTACAGATGGGGAAGGGAGGAGAGAAATGAGCCTTTAGGCATCTGGCTGCCAGGGCAAAGCCACCTCTTTCTGTGTAACCCACCGGTTACATGTGGTGCAGTGAAACGGTGTGGGATGGATTCGTGCTTGTCCAGAGTGGGATTCAGGAGGAGCGGAGCAGCACTGGTGGCCCAAAGGGGGACAAATGAGAGGCACTCAGTGATGGCAGCCCCACAGTGCAGGGATGCGCACCTCGGTGCAGGAGAAGAGCTGTGAGGGGGCTCCTTCTGGACAGAAGACCTCCAGCCCAGCTCTGTCATCAGCTGCAAAACCGTCTGAGAGAAAGCAGCCAGAGGGTGAGATGCTCCGGTGTGGGAAAGGATGAAGGGAGAGAGCTGGAAGTGCGTGTTGGAGTCCTCTGCCACTTCGGGCTCACTGCTTGAGCACAGCAAGTCGCCGCAGCATGGCACAGCACAGCATGGCACGGCATGGCACAGCATGGCACAGGAGGGCATGGCACAACATGCCACAGTATGGTACAGCATGGCACGGCACAGCATGGCATGGCACGGCACAACATGCCACAGCATGGTGCAGCATGGCACAGCACAGCATGGCACGGCACAGCACGGCACAGCATGGCACAGCATGGCACAGCATGGTACAGCATGGCACGGCACAGCATGGCATGGCACAGCACAGCATGGCACAGCACAGCATGGCATGGCACAGCACAGCACGGCACAGCACGGCACAGCATGGTACAGCATGGCACGGCACAGAATGGCATAGCATGACACAGCATGGCATGGTGCAGCACAGCATGGCACAACACAGCATGGCACGGCACAGCATGGCACAGTATGGTACAGCATGGCACGACACAGCACGGCACAGCATGGCACGGCATGGCACAGCACAGCATGACACGGCACAGCATGGCACAGCACAGCATGGCACAGCATGGCACAGCACAGCACAGCACAGCACAGCACAGCATGACACGGCACAGCATGGCACAGCA